TGCTAGAGATCCTTAAGAAGAGGAACGGACCATCATGGTGGACGACTACATTGTTGAGATGGACACTCATGAGAGGAACTTCAAGCTGGGGACGGTAGCCTTCAAAGACTTGTGATGTTCGGAACCCGCACCACCCGAAGGAATCGCCGAATTTGCTCAAGGGTATCGATGTTTTTGCTGTTTCTGGATCGATTGCTTGTAGTGATTCACTCCTCTAATGGACTCCTCCAGTGCTGGTAAGACGACTATACTGGATGTGATCACCAGCCACAAGTCCGGCGGCAAAATCAATGACAAGATTTTATCGAACCGCTACGAAGCGATTGTCGTTGCATGGGCTACTACGAGCAGAAGGATATACATTCTGAGGTGTCTACAGTTCGTGAAGGTTTGACATTCAGCGTCAAGACGCCCTCATTTCGGATGATGGACTCGGTGAACGAATGTATCGAGCTGCTGGCGTGGAAGGCGTCGCTGACCATATCATCTGTGGCAGCTCGGTGGAGGAGATGAAGCGTGCGACAATCGGAGTGCAACTGAGCCTAGTTTCATTTTCCTGGATGAGTCAACGAATGGCTTGGATGCTCACTCTGAGCGTTCATCTACCATGGCAAATTCAAGATGAAGAGACTGGCACTGGTAGCTTATTTATGGATCATATTTGGATTGGTTTCACCTTTGTGTCTATTGCGAAGCATTCCATCAATCTGTCGGCACGTCCAGCATGCGTTGGAATGAACCGCCAGACAAGCCAAATATCTCGACTGCAAGTACTGAAGCTAGTGACATGAATTACGAAGATACAAGCACGATTTCACGTATTGAGCGAGACGATAACATGCGGTCCAGTTGTCAACCGATGAACAAGACAGCGTTTTCAACCACAAGATGTACGAAATATGATCAGTAAAATCAAGGGAGAAGTGAAGCAAGAACGTGTCCAAATTCGTGTGGATACACTTTTGAACGATTTCGTTGGAAACAATCAGGGAAACGTTGGAAAGTTTCATATACTTATTGATTTCTTGACACTTATACTGTTTTTTGAATTGTTGAATTCTTTGGAGGTTGGCACTTTGGTCAACAGAACTTGCGACACAGAAATGCAAAACGTTCTCGAAGTGGCTACACCACATGCAGCGGAACTAATACGTGAACAGTATCTTCATGCAGTGAATGTACATTTCACATACTACGTGTGAAGACATCTTTTTTCTGACTAGTAAAAATGTTTTGTAGCACTCGACCCAAGTTGACTACACCAAGACCCGTGAAGGTCACTATAGAATATCAAGAAATAAGGATGGTCGATATAAGTACTCACTGGACACCGAATCTTGGACCTGCTCGTGTACGTTTTCACGAACTCGACTTCTGCCCTGTTACCATGTCATGTATTTACGAAGAACGGTGCGGAAGCTAATTCACTTAAATTGGCGGTAGATTCTGATTCATGATATTGTTTGCAGCTTTTTCGTGCAGAACAGGTTATTCCACTGAACTCTATTCACAAACGATGGCGACTTCGCGAGAATGCACTGAAGTCTCTTCAATTACCACTACCCCCGGGACCTTACACAAAACGAGTGTACAAGTCTACGCCGATCTTA